CAACCTGCAAGGCAGGAAATTACACGTTTTTTCCTGAACAAAGAATCCGAAACTATGGTCACGTGACGTACGGAATCTATTGATTAATCTGTGTTACAGTGGAACAAGATAAGTATATTTTGTTGTTACCCTGAGTTAGTATAGTTTGTTGTTACCCTGAGTTAGTATAGTTTGTTGTTACCCTGAGTTAGTATAGTTTGTTGTTACCCTGAGTTAGTATAGTTTGTTGTTACCCTGAGTTAGTATAGTTTGTTGTTACCCTGAGTTAGTATAGTTTGTTGTTACCCTGAGTTAGTATAGTTTGTTGTTACCCTGAGTTAGTATAGTTTGTTGTTACCCTGAGTTAGTATAGTTTGTTGTTACCCTGAGTTAGTATAGTTTGTTGTTACCCTGAGTTAGTATAGTTTGTTGTTACCCTGAGTTAGTATAGTTTGTTGTTACCCTGAGTTAGTATAGTTTGTTGTTACCCTGAGTTAGTATAGTTTGTTGTTACCCTGAGTTAGTATAGTTTGTTGTTACCCTGAGTTAGTATAGTTTGTTGTTACCCTGAGTTAGTATAGTTTGTTGTTACCCTGAGTTAGTATAGTTTGTTGTTACCCTGAGTTAGTATAGTTTGTTGTTACCCTGAGTTAGTATAGTTTGTTGTTACTCTAAACTCGCAGGTTCATTACAGTGTGATTATAAGATTGCCACGTGATCACACTGTCATGAACATATAACTCTCAATTTAACCTCAAATGGGCGTGAAACCTGAAGTAGGCTGGTGCATCTGTAGGTAGGTGTATAAAACTCTGCATTATTCAAAATTGTGACTCTAGTAGGCAACATTTCAACCTCACAATGGTCTGATGCCGTGGGGTAGGATATGTTTTACGAACTGAGATATCAAATAGAGCATCGCTGGCCATAGGAAAGGGTCTCTAGTTCCAGTCCTGGTTGTGATTGTCAATATTTTCTTCACACCTTCCCATCGGTACCTTGGTCTCAGACAAATGAATGCTTTGTTTTGTTGGGTGGCACGACGTTCTACATTGTTTTGGAAGTGTGTTGGTTACGGCGAGGGCTGCGAACCACCAGCGTGTGGCAAATCAAAGTAATCGAGAGTTTCGAAGTAAGAAGAAAGTGTTGGCCAGTATCTGCTTTGAAGACCACTGCCACATACCTTTGTGTTAGAGCATTGCTTGATACAATATCTTTCTTCAAGCTCAACAAAAATAAGAGTAGAGAATATGCTTTGCTGGTCCTAACGTAGTGTTGCAGGTTTGAGTCCTGGTAGTGAACGGAAATTTCCCGTTCACATATTTCCATCAAACAATTGAACAGTGAGATAGTTTTAGAAGATATTCACGAGTATTGATAAGGAAAAAAAGGTTATCATACAATTTTGGACAGGGTACCAAGGGTGCCCTGTGCGAACTTGAAAACAGCACAGCGCCTTTTCCAGAGACAACATCCATAAGCGGCATGCCTGCTCCAGAAGTAGGGTATCCGACTACAAAACTGGACTGATTCAACCATACAGGATTGTTAAGCGAAATAGAGGTTTTAATGCATGGTAAATATGGAAACACTTTCCTTCTGTGTAAGAAGTGCAATGGATAAAAAGGAATGAACCAGTGGATATCAACAGGAATACAATGATAATGGTAATGTTTGTAATGCTTCATATTGTTGCAAACCACCAGTTCTCAAGTGGGAAAGGCCTTCGCGCTTATGGCATTGTATTCATTGCAATGTTGTATTTCGACTCCGCCGTACCGCTAATGGCGCATGGCATACGCTATATGCGCTGTGTGCGTTTTTACTGTATATTCTGTTATGTCCCATTTTATATGCGTATGTTTTTGCCTGTACGCTGTTTTGCATGCTATAAATAGCTGGTGTTATTAGTGTTCATTGTTAATTATTCGATGAAGTGAAATATACTGTTGAGAAGAAAAGAGTTGTCCTCGTGCCGTGTGGTCGTACGATCCTGACAATTTAGAGAATCTTATAGGGTTCACAACACATATGTGGAACTTGGCCTAGAAGCAGTGCACTTTGCATCGATATCAGATTGGGCTGTAAAAGATCTTTACGCTATTTGCGGTTCGAAACGGACCTATCAGTAGCATTTGCCATAACATTCGAAACAAGTCGCCTTCTGTTCACGGTGTTAGCATTTGCATGGTCTTCCATGTTGTTTTTCGCATCAAGAGACTTGTCACGATCGTTGACCCTTGATGAGATCCTCTCAGGGATGGATCCGCTCATGACGTGTTAGGCTGGATTTCTGAGTGAAGGACTTTCCACATGCCGCACACGAAATTGGCTTCTCTCCAGTATGGATTAGTTGATGATTTGTACTACAGTAATATTTATGGGATATTGTGCGGAATGCCTTGCCACATGCTTTACACTTGTATGGCTTCTCTCCAGTATGGATGGGTTGAGGATCTGTGAGATGCTGTGATTGTCTGAATGCCTCGCCGCATAATTTACACTGAAAAGGCTTCTCTCCAGTATGCGTACGTTCATGAACTCGTAGGCTGTAATTTTGGGTAAACATTTGATCACAGTGATCACACCTAAACGACTTCTCCCCGGTATGGACACGTGCATGACGGGTAAGATTACGTACATTAGTGAAATTTGTATCGCACACTTTACACTTGAAATATTTCTCTTCTGGATGTGTTCATTCATGAGAAGTTAGACAAGATTGAGTAGAAAATGATTTATCGCATTGCTTACATTTGAATGGGTTTTCTCCTGGATGTGAATGTCCATGATCAAGCCTATCGGGTTGCCGATCAAGCGCTTTGTCGGCTTCTTGGCAGAGTGTAATTTCTGGTTGACGAGCGGCAGCTTGAAGTTGATAAACTGAAAGAGAAAACAGCTAAGAGGTGTGATGATTGTTGATCTTTTCACGGTCCTGACTCCAGGGATCCTCAGATGAGCTAGCCGCTTGGGATGATACTGGAAAATGTCCGAAATTGTGAACATGCCCTGCATGGACGTCCACATTGGCATCCTTTCTGGAGTATTTGCTATATTCCGAGTGAAGCGATGCTTCCCCATAGCCTGTGTAGTGATCTGAAACGGGTTCGAGATGGCAGTTAACAGTTGGGTAAATGGTATTAGTTTGATGTTTGTCACTTGCCGATGTCAAGAGATCCGAGCAAGGGTTTTAGACTGCTGTGGTTGAAGCATCACTGGGCTTTGTATCTTTGTTCCTCTGGATTTCTGGTCGAGGGTCCCTGGAGTTGTGTGCCACCATGTCCATCGGTGCATGATCTTGAAGAACACCGGAGGAAGATGGTTGTGTATTCCAAGGGCTTAGTGAGGTGCTTAGAAGAGAATAATGGAGAGAGAAGACTTCTGATGTGGCTACTTGATTGCCACTATTGAAGTATACGTTGTGAAGAGCCGAGTAAGGTATACTATCAGCTGATGCAGTTGGCGGTGGAGGACAAGCAACTGCGCTTCTGCTAGTCCATATTACTAATGGAGGCAGTGCTGAAAAGGCATCAGAGTCAACACTATCTTGAGAAGTCCAGTTACAGTCGTCCATGATTTACGTACTTCAACAATCCTCACCACCGTAATTCTCCTTTCTAACAATGCAGCGAGTCCTAATTCAAAACACCAAATAGACAGACTTGGAAGTGGCAAAAGCGCAGGTACCATAGGAGGCAACTCTCCCTAGTTGTAGCCAACGGTTTTGTAATTAGTAGCAGCTGGTGGTCCCCCTTACTAAGTACAGTCGAACAGTGTCCCGTCAAAACCATTCACATCCATTTGTAGTACTCTCCTCTTACGTAACACGCTATGATAATAACAAAATCCTGTGATATCATGCGCAAACACTCAATCACATACAATACAACACCCAACCCACACACTCTCGCTCAAATTTCGTCTTCACCGCCACTCTTAACTTGGAATCACAACATTTCGAACATTCATAATCATGCCAACTCTTCAACACCAGACTTGAGATTGTGCAATATGAGACTCTTTGTTGTTAGGTATCAATTGAAGCATCGTTTTATTGAGGTTCTCTCGCCTTCTGTGAAATATCATAGTTAGGCTTTGGAAGATGTGACATGATCTACAACATAAGTCTCAGTTCTTAGCACTGATGTACATGTAGTATTCTTGTTCTATTGAACTCAATGAAAAAAAGAAGAAAGAATGAACTGCGTGCGCAGTGCAAGACCCAAAGGTGTTACCACGCGTCACATATTTCTCTTCTAGCTGTCATTGTTATAATTATTGTTTTGAAGCAAAGTTTGGTGGAGATAGAAGTGAGGAATATACCAACACGAGATAGTGTTGGCATTTAGGTCATGAATTCATAGCGAAACACTGACTTGACACTTGATTGACTCACGACTGCCACCAAGAGCACACGAGACGTGAATCGAACATTCCCCCCCCAGCAAACCTGCAAGATATCACCACTTCCCAGTCACGTATCAAGTCAGTCGGCGGAAAGTGCGAGTCCCCTTGTGGGGAACCAACACTTTTCCTGCGAAGATATCAACCCAATGAGTATTATGAGTTCAATCCTATGTAAAAAAAACAATTAGTACAACAATACACGATATGTATGCTACTTGTCTATATTCAACTGACACATGGTATCATATCCTGCGCATGCGCACAAACACCTACATGTACATGCATACAGGTCTTCATACACAAGCTGACACACACACACACACGCGCGCGCACTATCCTTCCATTTTTCTCTTCACCTTAGCGCTTGTTTTGGGATCACAAAAGCTGACACTTGTGAGTGTGTGGGTTGCAGTGAGAACTCCGTCCCACCAGCCAGTGCGAATTCACAGGAAGCGTGAAGTTCGAAGTCAGAAGAAAGTGTTGAATGGTTGCTGCTTGGATGACCACTACACCATTGCTCAGTGTTAGAGCATTGCTGGGTATCATCCAGTGTCTTGGTTGGAGTCCTGGTGGTGATAGTCAATTATACCTTTCGTATATTTTCATCAAGCAAATGAACATTGAGATAGTATTAGAAAATTTGACGGGCGAAGACTAGAACAGGACTATACAATATTACACATGGGACCAAAAAGATATATACAGACCGAAAATTTGTAGCGTTAGACGCGAACTTGAACACAGCAGATCTCCTCCGCAACCGCAAATATCCATACCAGGCGTACGTGCTCTTGAAGTAGTATACTAGCATTCGACATTCGAAAGGGCTTCTTAGTTACAATGGAAATACGCTCCGTCTGTGTAAGATGTGCAAAGGACAACATGGAATAAAATAGTACATATCAGCTTAAATACAATGGCACAAAATAATGTTTTTGATGTTACACATTATTATTATTGGTGAATTCAGCGTGTAAGCAAGCGGGTATTAAAATGCAGATCAGATCAGCCTCTCATCGGCATTGAGTTTACTAACGATTCAAAACGGACATAAAATTCGTGATTTCCTATGATTTTCAAAAAGCCTCTGTTTAAGAGTGTTTGTCCGTTCTTAATCTTTCAAAGAGAGTTTTTCGCAACGAAAGATTTGCCACGATCGTTGACACATGATCCCTATCTCTTAGGAATGGGTTCGTGCATGTGCTGCGAGGCTGGATTTTCTATGGACAGGCTCTCCACTTTCCTTGCACAAACATTATTTCTCTCCAGAATGTATGGGTTGATGACGTGTGAGATTTGATTTTTGTCTGAATGCCTTGTTACATACTTTACACTTGAACGGTTTTTCTCCAGTATGGATGCGTTCATGATCTCTGAGATGTGATGTTTGCGTGAATGCCTTGCCGCATAATTTACACTGAAAGGGCTTCTCTCCGGTATGCGTACGTTCATGAACTCGTAGGCTGTAATTTTCGGTGAACATTTGATCACAGTGATCACACTTAAACGACTTGTCCCCGGTATGGACACGTGCATGACGGGTAAGACCGGATTTATCACGGAATGACTTAGCGCAGTACTTGCACGTAAAAGGTTTCACACCTGAGTGAACCGTTTCATGTCGGGTCAGATTATATCGCCTACTGAAGGTTTTATCGCACACTTTACAAGTGAACGAATTATCATGCTGGCGATCGCGTGACTTATCTATTTCCTTGCTGAGCAACGTTTCAGGTAGAGAAAGGTCAATTTGAAGTTGACAATCTTCCTCCGAAAAGGACTCAGAGGTGGGAATATTGTTGAACGCTTGGAGATCGTGATGTTTAGGATCCTCAGAAAAGCTAGACGACAGAGGAGATACTGGAATACGTCCGTAGATGTGAAAGTCCACATCGGCAGACTTGCTTGAGCAATTCACATCTTCCAAGTCATAAGCTACTTGACCATGGCCTGTGTAGTGATCTGAAACTGAGACGGGATAGGTAGTAGTTTGGTGACTGTTGTCCTGCGATCTGTTGTCAGTGTCCACTGCCGACGTCATGGGATAAGAGCATGGGTTTTCTACAACTGTTGTTGAAATTTCAGTAGCGTTTGTATTTGTATTTCTCTGGAACTCTGGTAGTTGCTCCCTGAACTTGTCTGCCACGTCCCCCATCAAAGGATGATCTTGAAGGGCATCGGAGGTAGATATTGATGTGTTGCAAGAGCTGAATGAGGAACGCTGAGGAGGATAATATGCGTAGGAGAATTCAGAGGTCGCTCCTTGATTGCCGCTTTCAGCATTTGCGTGGTGATGTGCTCCATAAGATGTGCCGTATGATGCTGCTATATTTGGCGGTGAAGGACACGCAGTAGACCTTCTGCTGGTCCATATGACTAATGGTGCCAAAGGTGAGAGTGCATCAGAGGCCACGCTACTCTCCGAATTCCATTCACAGTCATCCATGATTCACTTACAACACGAAGTCTCAAAACTGTAATTTTCCTTCCAAGCACACAAAGTGTCCAACGTCAATGCCAATAATTCAAATAGCAAGAACTTGCCGTAGGAGGTAAGTTTTATAATCAGTAGCATTTATGTTTCCCTAAATAAGTGGAGGCACATTCTGCTAATTCGTCACGTCAAACATCTATATGTGAATTCTATAATCAACTGACACATGGCAATCTTATCATATCCTGAGCATACCCATAAGCACCTACACGCATACAGGTCTTCATACACAAGCTGACACACACACTCACACACACACACACACACACTCACATACACATAGACGTTATCCTTCTAATGTTCTCTTCACCTTAGAGCTTGTGTTGGTATCACGAAAGCTGAGACTTACACTTCATGCTGACTCTTCAACTCCTGACGTGGGATGGTGAAAATGTGAGACACGTCGGCGTCAGATATTGAATGGGACATCGATGTATCGAAGCGTTTTCACCTCATGTGAGTATAATAATAATAATTATTATTATTGTGTAGGGCCTTTGAAGAGCCTGGTACAATGTGACAAGATTCACAAGGACTAGAACGGGACTATACAATGTTACATATGGGATCAAAGTTACATAGAGGAGCAAAGGAACTAAAATATTTTGCATCACGTGTGAAACCCCAAACAGCCCAGCGTATAGGCTAGCGAAGAGATCAATATCCGGCATGCTCGTTCAAGATGAGCGACAATTTTAAAAAGGACTGTTTATTACCAACAATTAACCGCACAGGGAGTTTCATCGCAATTAATTGATTGTTTTTTGCATGGTTAATTTGTAAAAACATTCCTTCTGTGTAAGAAGTGCAATGAATAACAAGGAATGAAACTGAATATCAACTGGAATACAATGATTATGATAATGGTATTGATGTTGCATGTGTTGCCGTCAGCATGTAAGCAGTGAAATTGGTATAGGCACCTAAAATACACACCTAGAAACACATCCTTTCGGCTGTTAGCATTTGCAAGGACTTCAAAGCTTGTTCAAGCATTGATTGACTTAACACAAACGATGACACTTGATCAGTTTTTTCTCAGGTATGGATTCTTTCTTGGCCTGTTAGGCTGGATTCATTGGCGAAAGACTTTCAACATTCCTTCCACCCACTGAAATGGTGTATCTCGGGTATGGATGCGTTCATGTACTGTCTCGGATTCAGCTACACTTCAGTGCATCAAAATCTTGGTAGGAGTAGGCACTATGACCCGATGTAGACGATCCAGTCACTCAAGTAAGAGCTGAGCGTTGTGCACCCCTAGATCTGTGAGGACTGGTCTTCGAAATACCAGTCACGAATGTGCCTCACCGAATCGAAGCTCAAGATTTTAGACGAGATTCTCGTTTACCTCACATTGCAGCTAAAGAAACGAGATATATTTATATTTAAAACGGACGCAACGCCATGACTGAAAATTTCGTGACTCACAGTGTCCTTGCACGGAATGAAATACACCCAATTATGCAGAAGGGAATATCAGCTCCTAATGGAAATATACCATACTGGTATTCTGTCTTAATTGCGACGAACGAGCTCAAATATACTTCAGTATTCTGAGTAGACAAATGGAAAAAAGTCTACTTCCTTGCCCCATAGTTATTACTATACTCATTTTGGGTACCTTATGATTGAACCATATATGCATAATGCTTATGCAACTCGTTCTAGAGCGAGAAACCCTGAGTTAGGACGACCTGGCTTTTTCCCGCTATGGTAGGCATCACAAAGTTGATACCCCTTTCTCTATTGTAGTTGACATATTCAGCACATTGGCTGTACATCCTAAAGTGAATCTAGTAGTCAGCTTGTCAACCTCACACTGGTCTGATGCAGTCGAGTAAGATATGTTTACGTAATAATTATGGTATCAAATAGGGCATCGCAGGACAAAAGAAAGTGTGCCTGGTTCAAATCCTGGTGGTAACAATCAATATTGTCTTCAACGCTTTCCCCTTTGCACCGTGTTCTCAAAAGAATGAATGCTTTGTTTGTTGGGCCTAACCGCTATCTACATCTCTTGGGAAGTGTGTGAGCTACAATGAGGGCTGCGAACTGTAGTATCCCTGCCCGACCAATACGGAAGCAGTACGGAACTAATACGGAGCTTTGCCTGATGTATATTTAGTGTATCTCCGTATGTAAGCGTAAGGCGTCTGCTGCATAAAAGCGGCTGAGCATTTCTGTTTTGAAGAAGAGAAGATTAGATTAGATTGGATAGCAATGAAAGCTAACTCGAAGAATAAGGATTCAGCCTCTAGGTGAGCACCGGAGAGAAAGTTATTTATTTTGCCGCTTCTTCTTTCACGAACGATTATATCTCAGGTGTGTACCTGAAAGTAGAATAAAAGTAATTATTGTTGATTTCACCGCGCCTACCACTCGGCTACCTATTACATTGGTGGCAGCGGTGTAGTTTTAAATAAAACAACGTGATTCGACCCCAGACTCCGATGCCTCAACCCGCTACAGCTCCGTGCGACGAATCAAGATGAGAATCATGTTTCTTGCCTTCCTCGGCCTGGCACTGCTTATTAGCCTGCAGCTCAGTCAGGGTGCTAGCGTGGATCACCCTTCCCTCCGCATGGCGTCCACTGGAGACTCCAATGGCGATTCCAAGCGACCCGCTACCTACACGTATACTACCGGTGGTGATGGCGAAGCTGATGAGGAGGACGACATGCAGGCTGCTGACCAAGACAAGGAGGGTATTCCCCAAGACCAGCAGCGTTTGATTTTCGCCGGCACGCCGTTGGCAGACGGCCGAACCCTGAGTGACTACAACGTTCAGCAGGAGTCCACTATTCACTTGGTACTTCGTCTCCGTGGTGGGATGCAGATTTTCGTCAACACTCTTCCTGGCTAGACCATCACTCTTTACGTCGCGCAAAGCGATGCTATCGACAATGTGAAGACCACGATTCAAGACGAGGAGGGAGGTCATTTGTCTGACGCCGAGCTAGCCGCTCTGAGTGACCGGCTCAACCAAGATGAAGATAACACCTGGCTTGCTCTCCGCCGTAGCTCCAGCCGCCGCCGTGGTTACTAACGCTGATTCCAGGTATGGCATTTTCTTTCCTGTCTTCCTTCAGTCTCCCTGTTCTCTTCAGTCTTCCTTTATGCGAGTGTGTGAATCCAGTTTAGTTTGGTAGGCGTCTGATCATGGTGAGCCACGGCTTACCCAGCTAACGTGGGACAATGTGTGTGACAACGCCCCTTATAGTTATAGTGTATTCAGTTCGGTTTTTGAACTGCGATGTTCCTGGCGGGTTGTGCCAGCGTTGTGCAGCAAGAGTGCTGTAGTTTTTCAGGTCCTATTTGGAGGACAGTTCTTTCCCCTTTTTACCCCGAGAGATCGTGTGAACCTGGTGTGCTTCTACTTTATGATTTGTTATCAGTTCATTTCTTCTGTCTACTCTAAACGTTATCATTTCCGATATAATTTGCCATCTTCCGGTTGACGCTGTTTTCGTAACTCTTCAGTAATTTTTTGAAAATCACGAGGGCGTGATTATCTGTAGGAAGGGAGGGTGTAGTATCCCTGCCCGACCAATACGGAAGCAGTACGGAACTAATACGGAGCTTTGCCTGATGTATATTTAGTGTATCTCCGTATGTAAGCGTAAGGCGTCTGCTGCATAAAAGCGGCTGAGCATTTCTGTTTTGAAGAAGAGAAGATTAGATTAGATTGGATAGCAATGAAAGCTAACTCGAAGAATAAGGATTCAGCCTCTAGGTGAGCACCGGAGAGAAAGTTATTTATTTTGCCGCTTCTTCTTTCACGAACGATTATATCTCAGGTGTGTACCTGAAAGTAGAATAAAAGTAATTATTGTTGATTTCACCGCGCCTACCACTCGGCTACCTATTACACGAACCACCAGCCTGTGTGGGAATCACAGGAAGCGAGGGTTCCGAAGTCAGCAGAAAACGTTGGACGGTAGCTACTTTGATGACCGCTACCCCATCTCGTAGTTTTAGTGCATTGCTTGATACCACATTCAAGTTCAACAATAGGTGAGAAAAGAAAGGAATTTGCTGGTCATAATCTGGTTTCCCAGGTTTGAGTTCTGGTATTGACAGTGATAATTCCCGTTTACACATTTTCATCCAACAAATGGACAGTGAGAGTTTTGATAAGCAGTAGAACATGACTATACCAGTTGACACTTGGGATCATTCGTACATACATGCATAATATTTTTTCAGCATGTGCGAACTTGAAAGCAGCACAGCGCCTCTTGAAGCGGAAAGATCCGACTATAATTATAGCATCATACCCGAATTTGAAAAGAGCAGGGCTCCTCCTCAACAGCAAATATCCATACGAGGCGTACGTGCTCTGGAGGTAGAATACTAGCGTGCGACATTCAAAAGGACTGGTTTATCAGCAATCGAAATACGTTACGTCTGTGTAAGACGTGCAAAGGACAACTTGGAATGAAACAGCACATATCAACTGGAATACAATGATACAAAATAATGTTTTGTGATTTTACATGTTATTATTGGTGGCGTCAGCGTGTATGCAAGCAGCTGCCTTGGAATGGAGATCAGATTCGTCTTTAATTGGCACACAAATTACTCCCAGTTCACAACGAACATGACATATTATCACTTCCTCTTAGGGATGGATTCGTGCATGAACTGTGAGGTTGTATTTCCGATTGAACGACTTTCCACATTCCTTGCACAGAAATGGTTTCTCTCCAGTATGAATTCGTTGGTGATGTGTAAGAGCTGATGTTTGCTTGAATGCCGTACCACATTGTTGACACTTGAAAGGTTTCTCTCCAGTATGGATGCGTTGATGATTTTGGAGATGTGATGATTGTCTGAATGCCTTGCCACATAATTTACAGTTAAAAGGCCTCTGTCCGGTATGCCTACGTTCATGAACTCGTAGGTTGCGATGGTGGGTAAACAATTGATCACAGTGATCACACTTAAACCGCTTCTCCCCGGCATGGATGCGTTCATGAACAGTAAGATTAGATTTACTTCTGAATGACTTAGCGCAGTATTTGCACGTAAAGCGTTTCTCTCCTGAGTGAACACGTCCATGACGGTTAAGATTATATCGCGTATTGAAGGTTTTATCGCACACTTTACATGTGAAAGAGTTCTCTTCTGGATGTGTACATTCATGAGATGTCAAACAAGATTGAGCAGGAAATAAGTTATCGCTATGCTTACATTTAAGCGGCTTTTCTCCATGATGTGAATGTGCTCGATCAAGCGTATCATGCTGGGGATCGAGTGACTTATCTGTTTCTTTGCTGAGCGACGTTTCATGTTGAGTAAGGTCAGTTTGAAGTTGACAATCTTCCTCAAAAACCCACTCAGAGGTGGGGATATTGTTCAGTGTTTGACGATCGTGATGTCTGGGATCCTCAGATATGCTAGACGGTCGAGGAGATACTGGAGAGCGTCTGATTGTGTGAACGTCCACATCGGCCGACTTTCTTGAGTAGGTGCTATCTTCCGAGTCGTACGCTACGTGCCCGTGGCCTGTGTAGTGATCTGAAACCGAAACGGGATAGTTCACAGTTTGGTTACTTTTGTCTTGCGATCTTTTTTCAGTGTCCACTGCCGGTGTCATGGGATTAGAGCATGGGTTTTCAACAGCTGTTGTTGAAACTTCAGTAGCGTTTGTATCGTTGCTCCCCTGGAACTCTGGTATTTGCTCCATAAAGTCTGCCACATTCTCCAGCAAAGGATGATCTTGAAGGGCACCGGAGGTAGATATTGATGTGTTCCAAGAGCTGAATAAGGATCGCTGGGGAGCATTATATGCGTAGGAGAATTCAGAGGTCGCTACTTGATTGCCGCTTTCAGCATTTGCGTGGTGATGTGTTCCATAAGATGCGCCGTAGGATGCTGCTATATTTGGCAGTGGAGGACACGCAGTAGACCGTTTGCTGGTCCATATCACTAATGGTGGCAGTGGTGAGAGTGCATCAGAGTCCACGCTACTCTCCGAACTCCATTCACAATCATCCATGATTCACTTACTACACAAAGTCTTAAAACTGTAATTTTCCTTCCAAACACACAAAGTGTCCGACGGGAATGCCAATAATTCAAATAGCAAGAACTCGCCCTAGGAGGTAAGCTTTATAATCGGTAGCATCTGTGTTTCCCGAAATAAGTGGAGGAACATTCTGCTAATTCGTCACGTCAAACATCTATTTCTGAGCTTTATATTCAACTGACACATGGAGATCTTATCAGATCCTTCGCCTACGCATAAACACCTACACGCATCCAAAATTCTTCACACCCACATTCACACCCACATTCACACTCATTCACACACACACACACACACACATTCACAAACACACACACACACACACCTGTCCTGTCCTGTCTTGTTGAGCTACTGCCATGAAGGTTACGTGGGCCCCGGAGGGGCAGCTGAGAGAGAGGAGGAGCACGCAGCCCTGTGACGATCCAGGGAATGCGGTAAGCGAAATCGGCGGGAGCAGGCGCAAACACATGCGAAACGCTGACGGTCCTGAACGGTCGGACGACTACACGTCCGTGAGCAGCGATGACGGGCGCGGCCACGTGTAGACGCAAAGCAGCGGTCACAAGCCTGGCAGTGAGCGACGCAGCACAGCGGAGAAGCAGGCAGCGGCAGCGGCAGGGGCGCACCGACTGCTGACTGGGGGTAAGTACACTTGTGCCTTGCCAGACCCGACGGGACTTCAGCCAACGGCCACACTCTCCACACTGGCATGCACCTTTCTGCTCCGCAACCGGCTTCGCACGCTCAACCCTACACTTGTGGCGTGCGCGATCACTGCGGCGTGCAAACTGTAGGTCGCAGGTGTAGCAGGTGACGGGAGGGCGGGGGGGGGGGGATGCTGGGCATCTACCGCACACACACACACACACACACACACACACACACACACACACACACACACACACACACACACACACACACACACACACACACACACACACACACACACACACACACACACTACTACTACTACTACTGTAGCTTGGTTGCAACAAGGGCCACACCACTCCGAAAGGAGCCAGAGTCATTGTCAGGAGCAGAAACGGAGATGACGACTCAGGTCACTCTGTCGACGGAACTGACGGCTGCAGCGAGAACAGCGAACACCATACGACGCTCTATCAGACACACACACACACACACACACACACACTTGTCCTTGTACTTGCTCACTGCCAAAACTGGTCACGTGGTTCTCCCCCGGGAGAGGGGAGAGAGACTCAAAAGGAATCTTGTAAAGATGACTCAATTGGCCATTGAACCACCCAACGGCCGACACCCCCTGAAATCCCCAAACTAGGGTGGACTTGAAATGATCCCAATTATGGGCTCACCACACCTCAGTAAGTGGGTGAGGACAAGGAGCAGAAAAAGGATTGACGGCATCAGGGTATCCGTCCCGGGATCCAACTGCAGGTACCCCTGCCCCCAGTGAAGGTAATACTTGCTACTAGACACACACACACACACACACACACACACACACACACACACACACACACACACACACACACACACACACACACACATACTGTCCGTCCAATTTTTTCTTCACCTCAGCTCTTGTTTTGGGAATCGAAAGCTGAGATTTGTACTTCTTTCGGACTCTACAGTACCGCACTTGGGATGTTGAAAAGGTGAGGCACTTTGTTGTTAGATATGAATTGAGTCATCATTGAATGGAAGTGTTTTTGCCTACTGTGAGTTTAATTATTTTATGTAGGGACTGGGAAGATCCTGGTATAAAATGACATGATTAATTGTCTCTGATCATATCTCCACTATTACTATAGTGTTTACAAGAGAAGAAAAGTACTAAGGAACCACAAGTTACGTTACTATGTCTGCTAACACCACTAGTAACTTGAGGACCTTGCTCATGCGAAAACATTACATGGGAGAGGTACTGGCGTTCTAAAACCAACTGCTAATCAACTTTGGCACGTCTTGGACATGCACTCCTACATGAAAGACGTGCCAGAGTTGATTTGCAGTTAGATGTACAGAAGGTCAGAACCGTTGGTCTGTGTCGAGCACTGTTATAGCTCAAGCGGATCGTCAAGTTACGGGTGGTGTTAGTGGACACAACACTTATAGCATAGCTTGTAGTTACTTGGTCCCTTTCTTTTCTATCAATTCATTCTTGGCTCTCCATCACAGTCATTCATATTGGATTTGTGGTTTCATCCCGTTATAGTGCTTGAATGAAATTAAGGTGACAATAGAAGTAAAGAAGATTTTAACACAAAGGCTATTGCTACCTTTTACACTGTGGACAAACAAAATAGTTGATAAAATTATTATGGTGGTAAAGACACACCTGGCAATATGGCGGTAAACACGCCTGCCCACACACGCTCTCTAGGCTGCAAAGTTCTGGCACAGAGCTCTCCTTCTCACCACCACCACCATCAGTTCGCGCCTGGCGCCTGGTCGATGCATGGCTGGCGGTATCCGGCATAGCAGACTGGTACATCAAGTAGCGCATGGCACATAGATGATGACACAGCAACGACATAGCTCGATTGCGACGTACGTTTCGTCCCCGCTGGACTCATCAGGCAATCTTCTTCTTGGAAGTCTTCATACGGACCTTGACTCGGGAGAATGAAATTGAAGACACCACTGCAGCTGTACTTATGGTTGATATATATGGTGGTAAAGACACACCTGGCAATATGGCGGTAAACACACGTTGACTTGTTTGTGTGGGGAACGGGTTTAACCAACTATAACGCCGATTTCAGTGCCAACGACCGCCTGTGACGAGAAAGACGTCACATTATCCGCCTACAATGGAGCCATAAACCGACATTCACTGCGACAATCATACACACAAACGGACAAGCGCACACACACATGCAAACCCAACTAAAGTAGAGCAAGAAATGAACACATCTAAGAATTATCGGCTCGCATGTCAGGTTTTTTTTTTTTTTTTTTTTTTTTTTTTTTACGAGAAACCACGAACCTCGAGAACAGTATACTGCATGGTAGAGGTGGTTGCAGACGCAACTGTGGTGGTGAAAACTGGAGCATCTCCGCCGACCTGAGGTCTCGGCTTCAGCGACACTTCAGAGCACCAAAAACTGGGGAGGAGTAGGCACAGGGGGAGGGGAGGGGGGGGGTACATTTATATAGAGGAAGGAAAAACGGAAAGATGATACATGTGATAGAGGAAGAAAAAAAAAGGTGAAAACATCACCGCAACAAACCTACGAAACCACCATGTATTCCATCAATTATCACGATAATAATATTTATAATAAAAATTTTCAATAATAAAAAGCACGGTTTACGAAACCGCTTGAATTCACTACGACTTAAAGATTACAGTGCTTAGCATAGGTCGCAATTCTACAGACGTCCAACTCCATTCTGTAAATTCTCCTAACTCATTGACTGAATATGACCAGAAGGAAATTACAAGCACCCCATCCAGCGTGTATGGTAGACAACAATAATGCAAGAAAAAAAGAAGACGACAACAGGAAAGTACGAGGAAAAATTTGTACATTTCATCAATATGCATTGCGTTGAACGATGCATGAAAAGCGCAAACAAAATCATAGTACATGTGTTTGAAGAAATTTCAGGATAAGACGGTGCACACAGAGCAATAACTATAACTGAACAGTTACCAAAAAATGCCTATAAGAAAACGAGTTAGAGAGTTTGAAGCATAAACAAGGAATAATGTTTAAAACGCTCTTTGATAGGCTAAAAAGCATTTCCCATAATCTTGAAAACGATACTTCTGTTTTCGGTGTTTCGTATTTCCATGGTCTTCAATGCTGTTTGTCGCATTGAAAGGCTAGTCACGATCACTTGTACTTGATCAGGTTCTCTCCGGGATGGATCCTCTCATGACGTGTTAGGCTGGATTTCTTAGTGAAAGACTTTCCACAATCCTTACACGAAAATGGTTTCTCTCCAGTATGGATTCGTTGATGATATTTGAGAGTTGACATTTCCCGAAATGCCATGCCACATACTTTACACTTGTATGGTTTCTCACCAGTATGGATGCGTTGATGCACTGTGAGATTTGATTTCGTCGTGAATGACTTGTCACACCAGTTACACTTGTGTGGTCTCTCTCCAGTATGGATGCGTCGATGCCGGGTGAGATCTGATTTCGTCGTGCATGACTTCTCGCATGATTTACACTTGTATGGTCTCTCTCCAGTATGGATGCGTCGATGCACGGTGAGCTTTGATTTTGTCGTGAATGACTTCTCGCACGATTTGCACTTATATGGTCTCTCTCCAGTATGGCTACGTTCATGAACTCTAAGATGGGTATTACGGCGAAACATTCGATCGCAGGAACCACACCTGAACGGCTTCTCCCCGTTATGGATACGTTCATGAACATGTAGGCCATGTTTGTCACCGAACGGCTTTGCGCAGTACTTGCACGAAAACGCTTTGCATACTGAGTGAAGTCGTGCATGTTGGGTAAGATTATGTTGCGTGGTGAACATTTTGTCACACACGTTACACTTGAACGATTTCTCTTCTGGATGTGTACATTGATGAGAAGTTAGGCAAGACGGAGTAGAAACAGATTTATCGCACTGCTTACATCTATATTGCTTTTCTCCAGGATCTGAATGTTCGCGATCAAGCCTATCGGTCTGGCGATCAAGTGACTTTTCACTTTCTTCGCAGAGTGTATCTTCTGGTTCCGGAAAGTCAGATTTAAGTTGACAAGCTATCTCAGAACACAGCTCAGAGTTGTGATGAGTGTTGATCTTTTCAAGATCGTAATGATCGGAATCCGTGGGTAAGCTAGCCACTGGAGAAGACACTGGAAATTGGCCAAAGTTGTGTACAAGCCTTGCGTGAACGTTCATACCAGCAGATTTGCTGTAGATCTTGCCATATTCAATGTGAAACGCTACTTCCTCGTAGCCTGTGTAGTGATCTGAAACGGGTTCGCGATAGTAGTTAACGGTTGGGGTACTGTTACCTTGCGAAATTTGATCCTTGTCCATTGCTGATGTCAAGGAATCCAAACATGGGTTTTCGAGAGCTGTATTTGAAGCATCACTGGTCTTTGTATCCTTGTTCCTCTGGATTTCTGGTCGAGGGTCCCTGATTTTATCTGTCACCATATCCTTGGGAACATGATCTTGAGGAGCACGGGCGCAAGATGTTCGTGATTTCCAAGGGTTGAATGAGGTATTTTGAAGAGAAAAATGGGAAGAGGAGAATTCCGATGTGGCTACTTGATTACAACTGTTGGGGTATCCGTGGTGAAGAGCTGAGTACGGTTTACTATAAGATAGTGCAGTTGTTGGTGGAGGACACGCGGTTGACCTTCTGCTTGACCATATTACTAATGGCTGCAGTGGTGAGAGTGCATCAGAGTCGTCACTCTCCTCCGAAGTCCAGTCACAGTCGTTCATGATTTACCTACTTCGAACAATTCTCACAACCGTAATTCTTCTTCCAGCACTGCAAGGTTTCCTAATTAAACCACAAATAAAATGCTTGGAAGTAGCAAGAAGTCAGTTCAATTAGGAAGACAACACTCCCTAGTTGTAGTCATTAGTTTTGTTAATAGTAAACAGCTGGTGTTTCTCTTTAGTAATTGGAAGAACAATGTGCAAAGTCTGCACATCAACACAGTTCACATCTATTTCTGGCACTGAAATTATACTTTACACAATATTATAATCTGGTGAAATCACGCGCATACACTCAATCACATACAAAGAATAATAGAAAAGATTTCTTTTCTAAAATTCAAAAACCCAACCCACACCCATCTCTCCTATCTAGTCTTCACCTCCAATTCTGACTTGGAATCACACAATTTGAAACATGTCTGTCATGCCGATGAGGAAAGGGATATGATGAGGCGATGGTGCGAGTCTAGGCCGATTAGGGACAAGTATGTGGGGAGATTATGTATGTAGAGATGAGGGATGAAGAGATGAGGTATGAAGAGATGAGGTACGAAGAGATGAGGTATGAAGAGATGAGGTATGAAGAGATGAGGTGTGAAGAGATGAGGTATGAAGAGATGTGATACGATGAGATGTAGAGTTGTGAAAGTGTAGTTGGTGGCTTTACACCCCTTACGTCATAGAACAGCATTAGTGTCTAGACTAGACTTCAACATTTCCAGCCACTGGCTATGCAGCTGTGTTTTTGTTTGTGGTGTTGAATGGATGGAGCACAAAGGCAATAAAAAAGGTCACGATTCGCGTGAGACTCGGCTGAAAGTCCGGTTTCCCGCATCCGTAGGAACGCCACCACCCTTCAAGGATCAACGGCTATAATCATTTTTTTATTGGAAATTTTGGTTAGTTTTGACAAGGAGTAGAACGAGACTGTACAATACTACATATGGCATCAAAGTGACATACTGGAACAAAGGAACTCACATATTTTGAATCATGGGTGAACTCCCAAGCAGCACAGTGCATCTTCTAGAAGATGAGCGACATTTTAAAGAAAGAGCTGTTTTCTTTACCAAACATGAACCGCACAGGGGCGTTCATGAGGATCCGTGAAATAAAAATCAATCAATCAAATCAATTCTGGCAAAAAAAGTGTTTCTGCATCGTTACTTTGGAAATACATTACTTTTGTGTAAGAAGAGCAATGGGTAACATAAATTAAACCTGTAGATATCAACGGCAATACAATGATAATGATAATGTTATTAATGTTATATGTGGTGACGTTAGCATGTAAGCAGTGAACTTTTCATGGAGACGTAAATGCAACATAGAAAAACAAACGTTCGGGTGTTAGTATTTGCATGGTCTTCAAAGTGTGTTTTCGCTTTGATTGACTTGTCACCAGCGCTGTGACGTGATCAGTTTCTCTCAGGAATGGATTCTTTCTTGGACTATTAGGCTGGAGTGCATGGCCTAATACTTTCAACATTCCGTACACTGAAAATGCATATCTCCAGTATGGAAGCGTTCTTGTTCTGTGTCGGCTTCAGTGACACTTCAGTGCACGGAAAGGTGTGGAGGAGTAGGCACTATGACTCTGTGTAGAAGATCCAGTCACCCAGTAGGATCTGCGTGTTGTGCAGCCCTCGATCTGTGAGCAATGGTCTTGGAAATGCCAATCAGGAATGTGTCTCACCGAATCAATTTTAAGGATTGTTGACGAGATTCTCTTTTACCTTACATTCCAGTTAAAGTAACGAAATTTATTCATATTGCACAGCTACATGTATGACTCGAAATGTAGTCAATAACAGTGTCCTCGCAAGAAATGAAATGCACCCAATCATACAGAAGGGAAGTTCAGCTCCTCGTGGAAAATCATATCCTGTAATTCTTGTGTCGTGCGAGCTCAAATTTATTCCAAGTATAGCAATGGAAAAATTCTAGTTCCTTGCCACATGGGTATTATATTGCCCATATTAGGTTTCCATATATTTGGACAGTGATGATCATGAAACTCATTCTAGAGCGAGAAACCCTGAGTTGCGACGACCTGGCTTTGTCCCGCTATGATAAGCATCACAAATACCATCTTCTCTATTGTATTTTGCATTTGGCACATCCAGCACTGGCGATGCATCCTAACTGTGGCTCTAGTAGTCAACCTATCAACCTCACACTGGTCTGATGCAGTGGAGTAAGATATGTTTTACGTTCTCAGCTATCAAGAGGGAGCATCGCTGGCGATATGAATGGGTCCCTAGTTTGAGTTCTGGTGGTGACAGTCAAATTTCCCGTTTACACATTCTCAGCAACCAATAGACAGTGAGATAGTATTCGAATAGTTTTGATAAGAAGTAGAACTTCACTATACAGGACGACACATGGGACCTAGAGTTCATACATGAATAAAATTTTAGGATCATGTGCGAACATGAAAACAGTTGAGCGCCTCTTCCAGCGAAAAGATCCGTACCAGGCATGCGTGCTCCAGCAGTAGGTTTCGGTTATATAGCATGACTAATTTATCCAAAAAATATACAGTAACGTTTAGCGCAATTGAGTGTCATGGTAAATATGGAAACACGTTCCTTTTCTGTAAGAAGTGCAATGGAAAACAAGAAATGAAATAGTGGATATCAGTCGGAGTACAATGGCAATGATAATGGTTAGCACCTTACATAATTATGTTGAAGTTAGCATGTAAGTAGAGACCTTTGCATGCATAACGGATCGGGCTTTAAACGACATTGATTTTATTCTACTTGCGGTTCGAAACGGGCCTATGAGTAGCACTTTCAACAATCTTGAAAACAATCTTTCTGTTTTACGGTGTTTGTATTTGCATGGTCTTCCATGTTGTTTTTCACATTGAAAGACTTATCACGATCGCTGACACTTGATCAGGTTCTCTCAGGAGTGTGGATTCGTTGATGATTTGCGAGAGTTGACATTGCTTGGAAGTCTTTGCCACATACTGTACACTTGTATGGTTTCTCACCAGTATGGATGCGTTGATGCACTGTGAGATTTGATTTCGTCTTGAATGACTTGTCACACAAGTTACACTTGTGTGGTCTCTCTCCAGTATGGATGCGTTGATGCACTGTGAGATTTGATTTCATCTTGAATGACATGCCGCACGACTTACACTTGTATGGTCCCTCACCAGTACGGATGCGTCGATGCCGGGTGAGATGTGATTTCGTCGTGAATGACTTCTCGCACGATTTACACTTGTATGGTCCCTCACCAGTACGGATGCGTCGATGCCGGGTGAGATGTGATTTCGTCGTGAATGACTTCTCGCACGATTTACACTTGTATGGTCTCCCTCTAGTATGGCTACGTTCATGAACTCTAAGATGGGTATTACGGGGAAACATTTGATCACAGTAACCACACATGAACGGCTTCTCCCCGGTATAGATACGTTCATGAACATTTAGAGCGGATTTGTCACAGAACGGCTTGGCGCAGTATTTGCACGGAAACGGTTTCTCTCCAGAGTGAACTCGTCCATGACGGGTAAGATCAGATCGCCTATTGAACGTTTTATCACACAAGTTACAATCGAGCGATTTCTCTTCAGGATGTGGACAGTCATGAGATGTGACGCAAGACTGAGTAGATAAGAATTTATCGCAATGCTTACGTTTATTCGTTTTTTCTCCAGGATGTGAATGTCCACGATCTAGCGGATCATGCTGGCGAACAAGTGACTTCCCGGTTTCTTCGCAGAGTGACGTTTCTGGTTGACGATGGTTAGTTTGAAGTTGACAAACTGCCTCAGAAAACGGCTCAGAGGTGTGATGATTGTTGATCCTTTCACAATCGTGTTTCTTGGGATCCTCAGGTAAGCTAGTCACTTGGGAAGACATTGCCACATACCCGGTAATATGTACACTGCGGCCTCCGTTAAGGTTATCATTGCCAGCATTGCTTGAGAAATTGCTATACTCCGAGTTTAACGTTACGTTCCCACTGCCTGTGTAGTGATCTGAAACGGGACCGGAAAAGTATACAGTTGCTTTACTGTTGTCTCGCGTACAGTGATCGTCGTCCATTGCCAATGTCATGGGATCCAAACATGGGTTTGAGACAGCTGTGGTTGGAGCTTCAATGGACTTTGTATCTTTCGCCCTCTGGATCTCTGGTCGGGGGTCCATGACATTGTCAGCAACCCTGTTCAGCAAATAATATTTAAGTACACCGGAGGAAGACGTTTGTGTGTTCCAAGAACTGAATGAGGAACCCTGAATAGAACTATAGGATACCTCTGCGGTCGCTATTTGTTCACCACTATCGTGGTTTGCGGGGTATTGAGCTGTGTGAAATGAATGGTAAGGTAATGTAGCTGGCGATGGAACTGCCCTTCTGCTTGTCCATATCACTAATGGTGGCGATGGTGATTGTGCATCATAGTCAACACACCCCTCCGAAGTGCAGTCACTATCGTCCATGATTCACTTCCTTGACCAACTTTAACCACCCTTTTAAATTAATTCTCCTTCAAAATTCGGCAAGTTATTCGAATTCAACATCAACAATTCAAATAAGAAGACAACTCTTCCTGGTCGTCGCCAATATATTTGTAATTAGTAGCAGCTGGTGTTCCCCTTAGTAAGTAGATGTACAGTGTGCCAAGTCCTCACGTTAATACAGTTCACATCTATTTCTAGCACTGTCCCTTTACCTGACACAATGTGTATAATTCTTGTCATGTAACACGCGCAGACACACACACACTTACACATACATACAAAAACCAACCCCATGAACTCTCTCTCTCTCTCATATTTCGTTTTCATCTTCACACCTCATTAATTTTTGAATCGAAAAGTTTCGAACATTCATGGCCCGCACCAGCCTGCAGAAAGTGCAGAGAGTCTGTGTTGCTACAAAAGTATATGAACTGAGACACAGTTTCATGGAAGTTCTTTAGCCTAGAGGGAGATATTATAGGAAGGGTGTACAAGATGTGACCATGTCATGATCTTCAACATTAACCTCCGATTCAGCACTGATATGCATTGAATATCATTGTTCTTTTATCACGTTACAGTTGTTTACGCAATGAAAAGACAAAAGAGTGTGTTGCGTGCGCACTGAAAACATGAAAATTAAAACTACAGCTCATGTATTTCCCGTGTTATTGTCCTTGCTATAGTTGGTGAAGCACATTGTGGTGAAGACAGAAGTAACGAAGATACCAACAGGGGATTGTGGTAACTGTTAGCAACTTCGGCCGTGACTTCACATTTTTTTTTTTTTTTTTTTTTTACTACAAAGCACTGGCCAGCAACATAAAAGGGGAGGTAGACAAAAGTGGACAAGCGAACTTTGACAACACAGAGGAGCGTGGCATGCGTGCCGATGAGGTAGGTCAACCTCCCCCGACCTAGTGGTCTCGGGTTCAACAGTTGGTCTACGCATCAGGAAGGGGAAATGGACAGAGAAAGGGAGAATGAGCATGAGGAGCTTCCCAGGAGAGGAAGAGTGAGAGAGAGAGAGAGAGAGAGACAGAAAATGATAATAATAGAGACAACCGGTTATTCTCAGTGCTGGTGGACTTCAGTGGCCCATAGCCAATTGGTCTGGCGGAGGTGATGGTAGGCCTTGGTCTTGAATGTCGGCAATTTCTTGAGAGTTGGGCGTTCGGCGAGGATTGGGGCAGGCAGTGTGTTCCAGCTCTCCAGGACAAAGTATGGGAAGGAGCGGCGGATGAACTCTGGACTGGAGGCTGGCAGAGGAGTTGCGAGTTGGAAAGAGTGGCCACCGAGGGACTGGCGTTGCCGGCGCGTCCGGGGTGCAGCGTTAACTCTTGCTGGGGGAGGTACCATGTTGGTAAGCAGAGCTGGACCTGGTATGCATTGCAGCTTATACAGGTAGCACAGCCCGTAAACATGCCTTCGGATTGCCAGGCTGGGGAGCAATGAGGGGCCAATAACCTTCATGGCTCGACGCTGGACCAGGTCCAGCTGATGGAGGTGACAATGTGCCGCACTTGCCCAGACGAGAGGGGCGTACTCCATTATAGGCCGTACAAATCCTTTGTACACAGTTAGGCGCCCTGCACTGTCCAGGATCCGAGATGCCTTTCGGAGCAGGCCGAGTCGCTGGTTGGCTCTAACGGCAAGGGAACGGATGTGGGCCCGGAAGGAGAGAGTACTGTCAAATAACACTCCTAGCAGCTTGAGCTGAGGGCTCTCAGGCACCTGCATGCCATCAAATGTGAGCTGTGGGACATCCAGGGATGGTCTGTGGCGGTCAAGGAGTATTGCCTGAGATTTTGATGGCTCGAACTTTATCTTCCATTGGGCACCCCAAGTCTGCAGGCGGTCAATAGATGCGTGGAGGCTATTGCAAGCAGCAGCGATGGTATCTGGGTTTCTGATTAGGGCATAGAGTGTTGTATCGTCCGCGTAGACAGCTAGACTGGAGCCTGGGGCTAAACACTGTTCTGCATCGTTTACATATAACAGGAAAAGAGTGGGACCTAGGAGGCTACCCTGGGGCACTCCAGCCTTGATCGGGAACAGTGGGGAGGACTGACCGCCAACAACTACAGTCAGTTTTCGGTCATGGAGATACGACCTTAGCCAAGCCAGGAGTTGGCCGTGGATGCCACATTGCTGTGCCTTCGCAAGGACACCTGGGTGGGAAACCTTGTCGAATGCCCCGGCAATATCAACTGCCAGGGCATGCACAAGACCGCCGCCGGCCAGGGTAGTGGCCCAGGAATGCTGGAGAGCCGTCAGTAGGTCACTTGTGCCCAGTCCACGTCGGAAGCCAAACTGGGACGAGGAGAAGAGTTGATGGGTTTCCAGGTGGTTCACAAGCTGCCGATTGATGATACCTTCCATGATCTTAGAGATGATCGTCAGGAGAGATATAGGCCGGTAGTTCTTCATCATGGATTTGGGTCCTTTCTTGTGCACTGGAACGACACGGGCAATTTTCCATGATTGGGGCTGGACTCCATTTGCAAAACACAGGCGAAACAATCTAGCCAGCGGATTTGCTAGTTCAGCTGCACACTCCTTGAGTACTCGTCCTGGGATCTCATCTGGACCAGTGGATTTGGATGTGTTGAGACGCTTCAGGCACTGTTGGACTTCAGAGACGCGGAAGCGGATGCGCTGCAGGCCCGGAGTGGTAGTGCAGGGTGTTGCTGGTAACTCAGCATTGTCGATGTCATTATCCCCAAGGCTACATTTTTCAGCAAAGAATCTAGCAAGGCACTCGCTCTTGGCTTTCGATGTACTGTGCTCGTGCCCGTCAGCATCAGTGAGTGTTGGCACGTCTGTAGTCCTACCCAGACCGGCGGCGCGCTTGACATTCCTCCACCAGTCCTTGTCTCTCATGGAACCACGTGTGAGACGCTCTCGGACTGTCTGCTCTTCAGCTTGTTGTGCACGATGTTGGGTTGTAATAGATTGAGTGACAGTTGTCATGAACGACTGCTTCAGGCATTCGCTGGGCCCCTGGTGACGCCAGGCCTTCCACGCTTTCTCTTTGGCACGTTGAGCCTCAGTGCATTCTGGTGTCCACCAGCTCGGATCGGACGGCCTTGTTTCCAGCATCTTGTGAGGAATAAACTGCAGCATCCCAGACACGATGTGCCTAGTAACAAGGCTGCATGCTTCCTCTGGGTCCTCCGGAAACTCAGCTGCCCAGGCAATGCGACGGTAGTGGGCACGCAGTCTGTTCCAGTCGGCTTGGCCATATCGCCACACACGTCTCCGTGTGCTGGGCTCATTTTCAAGCGGGGCTTGAGCGAGCACAGCGTGGACAACACAATGGTCTGACCTTCCTATCGGCGGCGAGATACCGGTGGTCACAGTACCAGTGAAGTCAGAGAGCACTAAGTCCAGGGTGTTGAGACCTCGGGTTGGTTCTTGGACATGCTGCATGAGGCTGTGGGCAGCGCTTAGTTCCTCCATGTACTCCCCTGCACGGGTGGTCTTAGAGCTGCCGAGCCAAGCCGTGTTGTGGACATTGAAGTCTCCGACCAGCATGGTGTGGGTGCCGTGTTTTCTGACGCTATCCAGGATGCCATCGAGGTGCTCAAGTGTTGAGATATCAGTGTCTGAGGCGGATCCTGGCCTGTATACAGCACCCAGCACTATCTTACCATGATGGGCAGACTGCACTGTGAGCCAAATTACTTCGTGAACAGATGAGTCGTACTGATCTAGATGATGGTACGCCAATGGGCTGCGTATCCAGATTGCTATGCCACCACCATGTTCAGTCCTGTCACGCCGGAGTGGGCCGGAGTACCCTGGGATGGCTGACTCGTGAAGGGAGAATTTCTCTGCGGTGATCTTGGTTTCAGTAACAACAGCGATATCAGCTTTGGAGGATACAAGCGCGTGTTGAAACTCTCCAAATTTGGACATGATTCCACCAGCATTTGTAAGGAGGATTTTCATTGTTGCTTGCTTGCAGTATCTGCGCTGCTGCTTTTGTTGTTGCTTGCAGTATCTGCGCTGTTGCTTTTGTTGTTGCTTGCAGTATCTGCGCTGTTGCTTTTGTTGTTGCTTGCAGTATCTGCGCTGCTGCTTTTGTTGCTACCTGCGCTTTGCAGTGGATTGGGCAGGGATGGGGATGTCTCTGGCGTGTCAGTTGGTGGGCAGCCAGGCTGAGCTGACCCTGGTACTGTCTTGTGAGTGTCGGATGTGTGGAAGGTCCACCTCCTGCAATAAAGTGGCCTTGGCCAGAAGTTGGCAGCCAGCAGGATATGCAGGGAGCTGGCATCCACAAACGCTCTTGCAGACATGCAGCCGCTAGCATTGACATGCATGCTACAGGTGTGGAGCACTACTGGTGTGTCGGAGTTGACGGCCCTGCTACGCAAATCAACAAATTCGCGTAACCGGTCTTCAGTTGTCTCCCTGCTGAGGTTACCAACATATACGACAGCTCTCTTCGCTCTGTGGGGCTCATCTGCAATTAGTTTCCATGCATCGTCGGAGATGGGCTGCAACACCTTTGTGCTCTTGTTGCGCTTTCGTCTCCGTGGCTGCTGAAAACCGTCATCCGCGTCACTCTCGCTCACGCTGTCCACATTGTGGCCAGGGCTGGCTGCTGGGCGAGCATCATTTTCAGTACGGGGCGCATCGGATGCTGGACCTTGGTTCAGCGCGCTGCTGTAGCTGGTAGATCTGCTCGTACTCGCACTCATGCTACACTGCCTGCAGGCTGTGCGGGGGTCAGTACGGGTACGGTCAGGGTTCGTAGTACGTCCTGGCTGGCATGGCTGAGGAGCTTTCGCCGCGGCAATGGCGGATTCTTTGAGAGAAGCTACCTCCTCCTTCAGCTCAGATACTTGTCTGGATAGCTCATCGAACCTATTGTTCAGGCGATCCTCGCGATCGGCGGCCTCGGAGACAAGTGCGGCCAGACTTTTTAGCACTGCCGATACATCCGACTCGATACTAGGCAGGGAGCCCAACATTTTCGTCTCAGATTCAGTCAAGGCTGATACACGAGAGTTCGTTCTCGTGGTAGCTCCGGGCATGGCAAGTTTCCGACACTACTCTACTTTAATTTTCTAATCACTGATCTAGTCTACTTCCAGTCCGGCCTGATGCCGGCCGGGCTGCAAAAAAGGGGAAAAAAGTAGAGCCCGAAAAACGCGTGGCTCACTTTTCAAAATCCCTCCGTGCCACATGGAAAGGTTTTGTTCCTCACACCGGGGTTTGCTCTATACGCCTACTGCCTTGATTTTTAGTTGACTCATGATTTCCACCAAGAGCACACAAGAAGTCCACCGAAACTTCGAATCAAGCTAGCCTGCAAAATATCACCACTCTTTAGCCAGGTATCAAGTCAGTCGGCGGAAAGCACGAACTCCGTTGTGGGGAGCAAACATTTTGCCTCTGAATATGTCAATTAAATAAATCTCATGAGTTGCCCACTATGCACAAACACCATTAGTAAAAGATATCTGGCATGCATGCTGCTTGAACGTCTTCTAGATGTTAACATGCACATTTCCATGACCGTTTCGAGCAGGAAAAATCTGACCTGGGAGAAATGATGCCAACCCAAATATCAGATACAGAGATATGAAAAAAAACTACGAAACAGAAAACAACTGTTCAGCATGAGGGTTACAACTACTGATCAAAATTACATTTTCATTTCAAGGACAACGACAAAAACGTAGTGGTAAGACAAAGAGAGAAAATATCCTTGCCGTGTCGGAAGCTTTGTACAGACGTAAGTTAGGACCTGAGCTTTGCGTTCAGAAGGAGAATGTGTTGTCTTTGCAGTTGTTTGGCACTGTTCGTCGTGTAGGTGCGAAATATATACCATGATCTCTTCTCAATCTGCGGACAGAACTGTTTCGTCCTTTGTGGACTCGTCAGCGCAGCACAGAGGAAATGAGGCCGAACCTAATAGCAATGGAAATAAAAATTTCCAATCAGGCCCGAACGTACCTTGCCAGAGTGCTCAAACTGACAAGTCAGTGAGCTCTGCATAATGCAAACAGCAAAGGCACTACCCCACGCAAGAGTGCTCAACTGCTACAAGAGCAGGAGCGAAATACTCAATCTGCGGACAGAACTGTTTCGTCCTTTGTGGACTCGTCAGCGCAGCACAGAGGAAATGAGGCCGAACCTAATAGCAATGGAAATAAAAATTTCCAATCAGGCCCGAACGTACCTTGCCAGAGTGCTCAAACTGACAAGTCAGTGAGCTCTGCATAATGCAAACAGCAAAGGCACTACCCCACGCAAGAGTGCTCAACTGCTACAAGAGCAGGAGCGAAATACTCAATCTGCGGACAGAACTGTTTCGTCCTTTGTGGACTCGTCAGCGCAGCACAGAGGAAATGAGGCCGAACCTAATAGCAATGGAAATAAAAATTTCCAATCAGGCCCGAACGTACCTTGCCAGAGTGCTCAAACTGACAAGTCAGTGAGCTCTGCATAATGCAAACAGCAAAGGCACTACCCCACGCAAGAGTGCTCAACTGCTACAAGAGCAGGAGCGAAATACTCAATCTGCGGACAGAACTGTTTCGTCCTTTGTGGACTCGTCAGCGCAGCACAGAGGAAATGAGGCCGAACCTAATAGCAATGGAAATAAAAATTTCCAATCAGGCCCGAACGTACCTTGCCAGAGTGCTCAAACTGACAAGTCAGTGAGCTCTGCATAATGCAAACAGCAAAGGCACTACCCCACGCAAGAGTGCTCAACTGCTACAAGAGCAGGAGCGAAATACTCAATCTGCGGACAGAACTGTTTCGTCCTTTGTGGACTCGTCAGCGCAGCACAGAGGAAATGAGGCCGAACCTAATAGCAATGGAAATAAAAATTTCCAATCAGGCCCGAACGTACCTTGCCAGAGTGCTCAAACTGACAAGTCAGTGAGCTCTGCATAATGCAAACAGCAAAGGCACTACCCCACGCAAGAGTGCTCAACTGCTACAAGAGCAGGAGCGAAATACTCAATCTGCGGACAGAACTGTTTCGTCCTTTGTGGACTCGTCAGCGCAGCACAGAGGAAATGAGGCCGAACCTAATAGCAATGGAAATAAAAATTTCCAATCAGGCCCGAACGTACCTTGCCAGAGTGCTCAAACTGACAAGTCAGTGAGCTCTGCATAATGCAAACAGCAAAGGCACTACCCCACGCAAGAGTGCTCAACTGCTACAAGAGCAGGAGCGAAATACTCAATCTGCGGACAGAACTGTTTCGTCCTTTGTGGACTCGTCAGCGCAGCACAGAGGAAATGAGGCCGAACCTAATAGCAATGGAAATAAAAATTTCCAATCAGGCCCGAACGTACCTTGCCAGAGTGCTCAAACTGACAAGTCAGTGAGCTCTGCATAATGCAAACAGCAAAGGCACTACCCCACGCAAGAGTGCTCAACTGCTACAAGAGCAGGAGCGAAATACTCAATCTGCGGACAGAACTGTTTCGTCCTTTGTGGACTCGTCAGCGCAGCACAGAGGAAATGAGGCCGAACCTAATAGCAATGGAAATAAAAATTTCCAATCAGGCCCGAACGTACCTTGCCAGAGTGCTCAAACTGACAAGTCAGTGAGCTCTGCATAATGCAAACAGCAAAGGCACTACCCCACGCAAGAGTGCTCAACTGCTACAAGAGCAGGAGCGAAATACTCAATCTGCGGACAGAACTGTTTCGTCCTTTGTGGACTCGTCAGCGCAGCACAGAGGAAATGAGGCCGAACCTAATAGCAATGGAAATAAAAATTTCCAATCAGGCCCGAACGTACCTTGCCAGAGTGCTCAAACTGACAAGTCAGTGAGCTCTGCATAATGCAAACAGCAAAGGCACTACCCCACGCAAGAGTGCTCAACTGCTACAAGAGCAGGAGCGAAATACTCAATCTGCGGACAGAACTGTTTCGTCCTTTGTGGACTCGTCAGCGCAGCACAGAGGAAATGAGGCCGAACCTAATAGCAATGGAAATAAAAATTTCCAATCAGGCCCGAACGTACCTTGCCAGAGTGCTCAAACTGACAAGTCAGTGAGCTCTGCATAATGCAAACAGCAAAGGCACTACCCCACGCAAGAGTGCTCAACTGCTACAAGAGCAGGAGCGAAATACTCAATCTGCGGACAGAACTGTTTCGTCCTTTGTGGACTCGTCAGCGCAGCACAGAGGAAATGAGGCCGAACCTAATAGCAATGGAAATAAAAATTTCCAATCAGGCCCGAACGTACCTTGCCAGAGTGCTCAAACTGACAAGTCAGTGAGCTCTGCATAATGCAAACAGCAAAGGCACTACCCCACGCAAGAGTGCTCAACTGCTACAAGAGCAGGAGCGAAATACTCAATCTGCGGACAGAACTGTTTCGTCCTTTGTGGACTCGTCAGCGCAGCACAGAGGAAATGAGGCCGAACCTAATAGCAATGGAAATAAAAATTTCCAATCAGGCCCGAACGTACCTTGCCAGAGTGCTCAAACTGACAAGTCAGTGAGCTCTGCATAATGCAAACAGCAAAGGCACTACCCCACGCAAGAGTGCTCAACTGCTACAAGAGCAGGAGCGAAATACTCAATCTGCGGACAGAACTGTTTCGTCCTTTGTGGACTCGTCAGCGCAGCACAGAGGAAATGAGGCCGAACCTAATAGCAATGGAAATAAAAATTTCCAATCAGGCCCGAACGTACCTTGCCAGAGTGCTCAAACTGACAAGTCAGTGAGCTCTGCATAATGCAAACAGCAAAGGCACTACCCCACGCAAGAGTGCTCAACTGCTACAAGAGCAGGAGCGAAATACTCAATCTGCGGACAGAACTGTTTCGTCCTTTGTGGACTCGTCAGCGCAGCACAGAGGAAATGAGGCCGAACCTAATAGCAATGGAAATAAAAATTTCCAATCAGGCCCGAACGTACCTTGCCAGAGTGCTCAAACTGACAAGTCAGTGAGCTCTGCATAATGCAAACAGCAAAGGCACTACCCCACGCAAGAGTGCTCAACTGCCACAAGAGCAGGAGCGAAATACTCAATCTGCGGACAGAACTGTTTCGTCCTTTGTGGACTCTTCAGCGCAGCACAGAGGAAATGAGGCCGAACCTAATAGCAATGGAAATAAAAATTTCCAATCAGGCCCGAACGTACCTTGCCAGAGTGCTCAAACTGACAAGTCAGTGAGCTCTGCATAATGCAAACAGCAAAGGCACTACCCCACGCAAGAGTGCTCAACTGCTACAAGAGCAGGAGCGAAATACTCAATCTGCGGACAGAACTGTTTCGTCCTTTGTGGACTCGTCAGCGCAGCACAGAGGAAATGAGGCCGAACCTAATAGCTATGAGAAAGGGAGAAGGAGCAGTTACAAAAGAGGATAAGGATTTGAGAATAGTGGAGATAAGGAGAGATGCAGAAGGATTAGGGTGTTATCGTTTGCAAATTCGATTAATCTTGTGACGTCTCAAACTGGATGCAGAATAAAATTCACAGGCACAACCATTACATACATGCAGCCTATGTCCCGTGTGAGTACTCTGGTGGTCTTGAAGGCATTTTAACTCCGTGAAAGACTTGTTACAGTGTGCACATTTGAATGGCTTCTCTCCAGTGTGGATGAGTTGGTGACGCAAAAGATTGGAACTGTGGCTGAACGACTTTGCGCAAACCTTACACTTGTATGGTTTCTCTCCAGAGTGCATACGTTCATGAAGTTTTAGTCTACAATTGTAACTGAATGACTTTTCACACTTCTTGCACTTGAAGGGTTTCTGGTTGTGATGCATGCGTTCATGTCTAGTAAGGCTAGACTGGTTAGAGAATGCCATTTCGCACAGCTTACATTTCACCAAGTTTCCTCCAGTTGGTTTGTGTGGTTTTTCAGATACAACTTCACCAGTGCATTGGGGAGATACCGAATTATCGCTAATATTACCTATACTCTGTTGATTCAGGTCAAAGTCAACAGAGTAGATCGACGATTCGTCATTAGGCGAGTCACGTGTCTCTTCTGGAGCGGCGTGGTGGTCTGGACCAGTTAGGGAAGAGCTGACCTGTGGAATAGATGTGGGGAGATATCGTTTTCGTATTCTGCCTGTTGACGTTGGCGGCTCCAAGTCAGTGTTGCAAGAAGCTGATGCTGAAGCTTCAGCCTCTTTTTGGTTCTTGCTCTGGACTTCGCTACGTGGTGCAGCGATGACGACTGGCTCAGGAAGCGGACAGAAATTTACTGGAGAATAACCGTGCTGTGCATTGTCCAGTCTGGATGACGTTATCGAGCTATGCCGTTGTGGATAATCCACAGAAGACGTTTCAGAGGTCACTATGTTATTTCCATGATCGATCGCAGCGTGGTGACGCGCGACACTTGGCTCACCATGGAGATACGAAACATGACAAGGCGGAAACCCGCACGGCATTGGCGTTTTACTTGTCCATATCACTAAGCGTGACAACATTGATAATTCATCTGAATCCAAACTGCTCTCAGACGTCCAGTCCGCATCATGCTCCATTGTTAACGGAACTCGACCGTCTTCTATGTTGACCAATTGAACAGTCAAGAGCACGGCCAAAGTTAGCAACAGACGATATATTCAAGCTTGCTGAATAATGAGTGTAAGCTCTATGAGTGATGACAAGCTGGATCTGTTCACATAAATACAGTTCTCACTTTAATACTGTGGTAACAAAATGTGAGGAAGGATGATCACGTCCTATTTGGGTACATGGGATGGAAGATTAGCTGCGCAAAGTTTGCTTACCCCTCACAAGTGAGATATTCATGACGGACTTGTGCCACTGTGTGGAAATTCGGGTACCAGTGAGATTATAAGTTTTATTCAACAGAAATGGACGATATCTTCAAGCATGCTGTATAATGATTGTAAACTCTATGGGTGATGACAAATTGGATTTCTTCAAATAAATATTGTTCTCACGTACTGTATTAAAACACCTCTTGGGAAAGGTAGTCACCTCTGATTTGGGCACCTGTGCTGGTATTTGAAGAACTTAATTTGTGGTAATACCTCGCAGGTGGGATAATCATGTCGGACTTGCCAGGTTTCGTGGGAATTTCATGATATTTCAAGTTTTGTGCTAAAAACCGCGATATGTGTACAGTGCGAACACGCTCTAGGCACTGACGATCGTTTTTGACAGGATCTTTCTCCTGTACTCCGAGTTTCAACTGACTACACGGTACACTTTGTTGTGTGTAAGACAGATCTGCCGGGTCGAGTATCTGGCTCTCTGGTAGTTGTGATAAATGCGTCAAAATGGCTGCGAAGGCGCATCACTTCCTGTGACTCAAATAGTCGATTGCTGAACCTCACACTGATTTCATGCTGTAGAGGAAGATTTGTCTCACGTCTTTAGAGAGGCTCCCTGTTGCGAGTCATGGTGGTGACAGTCAATTTTGTTCGTCAGGCCTTTCCCCTTGTCACCTTCCCCTCGAACGAATGAATACTTTGTATGTTGGGGCTTCCCTCGTGCTACATAGTGCGGGAAGTGTGTAGGTTGCAGTGAGAACTCCGTCCCACCAGCCAGTGGGAATTCACAGGAAGCTTGAGGGTGAAAGTCAGAAGAAAGTGTTGAATGGTCGCTGCTTGGATGACCAGTAAGCCATAGCTTAGTGTTAGAGCTTTGCTGCTTATTATAAGTGTCAGGGTTCGAGTCCTGGTGGTGAAAGTCAATTTTACCTTTCGTCCATTTCCACTAAGCACATGAACTTTGAGATAGTATTAGAAGATTTGAGGAGTTTTGACAAAGACTAGAACAAGGCAAAACAATATTATACATGGGAGCAAAGATACATACAGACCGAATATAATTATAGCTTTATACGCGGCCTTGAAAACAGCAGAGCAATGCGTACGTGCTCTAGAAGTATTATACTTGTTTGCGACATTCAAAAGGACAGGTTTATCAACAATGGAAAATGCGTTCCGTCTGTGTGAGACGTGCAAAGGACAACATGGAATGAAACAGTACAATATCAACGGGAAGACAATGATACAAGATATTGTTTGTGATGGTAGTTGTAAGTATGGGTGAAATCAGCGTGTAAGTAAGCAGTTACCAAGGAGTGGAGTTCAGATCTGTCTGTCATTGGCATTGAATTTACCCCGGTTAAAACCGGTCATAAAAATCAGATTTCAGATCATTTTGAAAAAGCTTCTGTTTAGAGGGTGTTTGTATTTTCAAGTTCTTGAAAAGTGTGGTTTGGCAGTGAAAGACTTGTCCCGATCGTTCACACATGATCCCTTGCTCTTAGGAATGGATTCGTGCATGAGCTGTTTTGCTGGATTTCCGATTGAATGACTTTCCACATACATCACACGAAAATGGTTTCTCTCCAGAATGGATGCGTTGATGACTTGTGAGATGTGGTAATTGTCTGAATGCCTTGCCACATAATTTACACTGAAATGGTTTCTCTCCAGAATGGATGCGTTGATGACTTGTGAGATGTGGTAATTGTCTAAATGCCTTGCCACATAATTTACACTGAAATGGCTTCTCTCCAGTATGTGTACGTAAATGAGATCTAAGGCTGGAACTGGCGGAAAAACCTTGACCACAGTAATTACACTGAAACCGTTTCTCCCCTGTATGGATACGTTCATGAGCAGTTCGATTGGATTTGTCACTGAATGACTTATCGCAGTGCTTGCACGTAAAGGGTTTCTCTCCTGAGTGAACACGTCCATGACTGGTAAGCTTAGCTCGCCTATTGAAGGTTTTATCGCACACTTTACACTTTAACAATTTTTCTTCTGGATGTGTACATTCATCAGATGTTATTAAACAAGATTGAGCAGAAAATGATTTATCGCATTGCTTACATTTAAGCGGCTTTTCTCCAGGTTGTGAATGCGCACGATCCAGTGTGTCACTCTGGCGATCGAGTGACGTATCTGTTTCCTTGCTGAGCAACGGTTCAGGCTGAGTAATGTCAATTTGAAGTTGACAAACTTCCTTCGAAAACGACTCAGAGGTGTGCATATTGTTGAACGTTTTACGATCGTGATGTTTGGGATCTTCACATAAGCTGGACGAAAGAGGAGATACTGGAATACGTCCGATAATGTGAAGGTCCACATCGGCAGACTTGCTTGAGTAATTGCCACCTTCCGAGTCATACGCTACGTGCCCATGGCCTGTGTAGTGATATGAAACGGAGACGGGATGGTTAACAGTTTGGTTACCGTTGTCTTGCGATCTTTTGTCAGTGTCCACTGCAGGTGTCATGGGATTTGAGCTTGGGTTTACGATAGCTGTTGTCGAAACAATAGTAGCGTTTGTTTTGTTGTTACTCTGGAACTCTGGTAGTTGCTCCCTGAACTTGTCTGCCACATCCTCCATGAAACGATGATCTTGAAGGGCATCGGAGGTAGATATTGGAGTGTTGCAAGAGCTGAATGAGGAACGCAGAGGAGGATTATATCCGTAGAAGAATTCAGAGGTCGCTACTTGATTGCCGCTTTCAGCATTTGGGTGGTTATGTGCTCCATAAGATGAGCCGTACGATGCTGCTATATTTGGCGGTGGAGGACACGCAGTAGACCTTCTGCTGGTCCATATGACTAGTGGTGGCAGTGATGAGAGTACATCAGAGTCCACGCTACTCGCCGAATTCCATTCACAATTATCCATGATTCACGTACAACACAAAGTCTCAAAACTGTAATTTTCCTTCCAAGCACAAAACGTGTCCGACGTCAGTGCCAATAATTCAAATAGCAAGAACTCGCCCTAGGATGTAGGTTTTATAATCAGTAGCATTTGTGTTTCCCGAGGAAAATTCTGCTAATTCGTCACGTCAAACATCTATTTATGAACTCTATAATCAACTGACACATGGCAATCTTATCATATCCTGAGCATACTCATAAGCACCTACACGCACACAGGTTTACATACACAGGCTGACACACACACACACACACACACACACACACACACACACACACACACACACATACACATACACGTTATCCTTGTTATGTTCTCTTCACCTTAGAGCTTGTGTTGGTATCACGAAAGCTGAGACTTACACTTCATGCTGACTCTTCAACTCCTGACGTGGGATGGTGTCAATGTGAGACACCTTGGCGTTAGATATTGAATGGGACATCGTTGTATCGAAGCGTTTTCACCTCATGTGAATATAATGATAATAATAATAATTATTATGTAGGGTCTTTGAAGAGCCTGGTATAATGTGACAAGATTCACAAGGACTAGAACGAGACTATACAATGTTAAAATTAATAATGGGATCAAAGTTACATAGAGTAACAAAGGAACTAAAATATTTGCATCACGTGTGAAATCCCAAACAGCCCAGCGTACCGCAATTAATTAATTGTTTTTTTGCATAGTTAATTTGTAAACACACTCCTACTGTGTAAGAAGTACAATGAATAACAAGGAACGAAACTGTAGATATCAACTGGAATACAATGATTATGATAATGTTATTGATGTTACATGTGTTGACGTCAGCATGTAAGCAGTGAAATTTGCATGGAGACCTAAATAAAACATCTGGAAAAACCTTTGGCTGTTAGTATTTGCATGGTCTTCAAATTCTGTTTTCGCTTTGATGGATTTGTCACCAGCGCTGTTACCTGATGAGTTTCTCTAAGAGGATGGATTCTTTCTTGGACTATTAGGTTGGAGTGCTTGGCCAAAGATTTTGAACATTCCGCACACTGAAAAGGCATATCTCCAATATAGGCATATCTCTAGTATGGATGCGTTCTTGTTCTGTCCCGGCTTCAGTGACACTTCAGTGCACGGAAAGGTGTGGAGGAGTAGGCACTATGACTCTGTGTAGACGATCCAGTCACTGAAGTAGGATCTGCGTGTTGTGCAGCCCTAGATCTGTGAGCAATGGTCTTGGAAAAGCCGGGTCAGGAATGTGTCGCACCGATTAAATTTTTAGGACTGTTGAAGAGATTCTCTTTTACCTTACATTGCAGTTAGAGTAACGAAAGTTATTCCTATCGCACAGCTATGAGTCCAAATATAGTCAATAACAGTGTCCTCGCAGGGAATGAAATGCACCCAATCATACAGAAAGGAAGGTCAGCTCCTCGTGGAAAACATATATCCTGTATTTCTTGTGTCGTAATAGCTCAAACTTATTCCAAATATAGCAATGGAAAAATTCTAGTTTCTTGCCACAAGATTGTTATATGCCTCGGTCTTTTACAAGGCTTTTATTTCCTATATTGACCTCGTGATCAGTCAATATTAGATTTATCACGACAAACAGTCCGTATTTCAAATTCCAGAGCGATAACCTCATGAATCCCGGTTTTATGAATGCACATCCGCTGCACCACCACCCACCCATGCAACGACAATGCTGCACTACGCACCGTTCAACTGCGAAACCCCTAAGCAGGCAAATATAAGCAGTCAATATAGCCCTAAGGAGTGAAATATGCAGGAATATTTGACTGCTTAGGTATAGCGAAAATCAATGGGAGTCAATACTAAGAGAGTGAGATTGCCCATTATAGGTTACCATAATTTGGAAACTAATGATCATGAAACTCATTCTAGAGCGAGAAACCCTGAGTTGCGACAACCTGGCTTTGTCCCGCTATGATAAGCATCACAAATACCATCTTCTCTATTGTATTTGGCATTTGGCACATCCAGCACTGGCGGTGCATCCTAACTGTGACTCTAGTAGTCAACGTATCAAACTCACACTGGTCTGATGCAGTGGAGTAAGATATGTTTTACGTTCTCAGCTATCAAGAGGGAGCCTCGCTGGCCATATGAATGGGTCACTAGTTTGAGTTCTGGTGGTGACAGTCAAATTTCTCGTTAACACATTTTCAGCAAACAAATGGACAGTGAGATAGTATTCGAATAGTTTTGATAAGAAGTAGATCGTTACTATACAGGATGACACATGGGACCAAGAGTACATACATGAACAAGATTTTAGCATCATGTCCGAACATGAAAACAGCAGTGGACCTCTTCCAGCGAAAAGATCCGTACCAGGCATGCGTGCTACATCAGTAGGTTTCGGTTATATAGCATGACTAATTAATAATTTTATTCAACAAAAAAAATACTATAACGTTATGCGCAATTGGGTGTCAAGGTAAATATGGAAACACGTTCCTTTTCTGTAAGAAGTGCAATGGAAAACAAGGAATGAAATAGTGGATATCACTCGGAGTATAATGGCAATGATAATGGTTTGAACGGAACATAATGTTGAAGTTAGCATGTAAGTAGAGACCTTTGCATGGATAACGGATCGGGCTTTAAGCGACATTGATTTTATTCTACTTGCGGTTCGAAACGGGCCTATGAGTAGCACTTTCAACAATCTTGAAAACAATCTTTCTGTTTTACAGTGTATGTATTTGCATGGTCTTCCATGTTGTTTTTCACATTGAAAGACTTGTCACCATAGCTGACACTTGATCAGGTTCTCTCAGAAGTGTGGGTTCGTTGATGATTTGTGAGAGTTGACATTGCTCGGAAGTCTTTGCCACATACTTTACACTTGTATGGTTTCTCACCAGTATGGATGCGTTGATGCACTGTGCGATTTGATTTCGTCGTGAATGACTTGTCACACAAGTTACACTTGTGTGGTCTCTCTCCAGTATGGATGCGTTGATGCACGGTGAGCTTTGATTTCGTCGTGAATGACTTCTCGCACGATTTACACATGTATGGTCTCTCTCCAGTATGGGTACGTTCATGAACTCTAAGATGGGTATTACGGCGAAACATTTGATCAGAGTAACCACACCTGAACGGCTTCTCTCCGGTATGGATACGTTCATGAACATTTAGAACGGATTTGTCACAGAACGGCTTGGCGCAGTATTTACACGAAACGGTTTCTCTCCAGAGTGAACTCGTCCATGACGGGTAAGATCAGATCGCCTATTGAACGTTTTATTACACAAGTTACAATCGAGCGATTTCTCTTCAGGATGTGGACATTCATGAGATGTTACGCAAGACTGAGTAGATAATAATTTATCGCAATGCTTACGTTTATACGTTTTTTCTCTAGGATGTGAATGTCCACGATCTAGCGGATCATGCTGGCGATCAGGTGACTTCCCGATTTCCTCGCAGAGTGGCGTTTCTGGTTGACGATGGTTAGTTTGAAGTTGACAAACTGCCTTAGAAAAGGGCTCAGAGGTGTGATGATTGTTGATCCTTTCACGATTGTGATTCTTGGGATCCTCAGGTAAGCTAGTCACTTGGGAAGACACTGGCATATATCCGGTAATATGTACACTGCGGCCTCCGTTAACGTTAAGATTGCCAGCATGGGTTGAGAAATTGCTATATTCCGAGTTTAACGTTATGTTCCCACTGCCTGTGTAGTGATCTGAAACGGGAACGGAATAGTTTACAGTTGCTTTACTGTTTTCTCGCGTACAGTGATCGTCGTCCATTGCCAATGTCATGGGATCCAAACATGGGTTTAAGACAGCTGTGGTTGGAGCTTCAATGGACTTTGTATCTTTCGCCATTTGGTTTTCTGGTCGGGGGTCCATGACGTTGTCAGCAACGCTGTTCAGCCGATAATCATGAAGTACACCGAAGGAAGACGTTTGTGTGTTCGAAGAACTGAATGAGGAATCCTGAATAGAACTATAGGATACCTCTACGGTCGCTATTTGTTCACCACTATCGTGGTTTGCGGGGTATAGAGCTGTGTAAAGTGCATTGTAAGGTAATGTAGCTGGCGGTGGAACTGCCATTCTGCTTGTCCATATTACTAGTGGTGGGGATGGCGATTGTTCATCATAGTCAACACACCCCTCCGAAGTGCAGTCAGTATCGTCCATGATTCACTTCCTTTAATAACTTTAACCACTTCTTAAATTAATTCTCCTTCAAAATTCGGCAAGTTATTCCAATTCAACACAACAATTCAAATATGAAGACAACTCTTCCTGGTCGTCGCCAATATATTTGTAATTAGTAGCAGCTGGTGTTCCCCTTAGTAAGTAGATGTACAGTGTGCCAAGTCCTCACGTTAATACAGTTCACATCTATTTCTAGCACTGTCCCTTTACCTGACACAATGTGTATAGTTCTTGTCATGTAACACGCGCAGACACACACACACACTTACACATACATACAAAACCAACCCCATGAACTCTCTCTCTCAAATTTCGTTTTCATCTTCACACCTCATTAATTTTTGAATCGAAAATTTTCGAACATGCATGGCCCGCACCAGACTGCAGAAATATATGAATTGAGACACAGTTTCATGGAAGTTCTTTAGACTAGAGGGATATTTTATAGGAAGTGTTTACAAGATGTGACAATGTCATGATCTTCAACATTAACCTCCGCTTTCGGCACTGATATGCATTGAATATCATTGTTCTTTTATCACGTTACAGGTGTTAACGCAATGAGAAGTTTTCATTTCTTGTTGGCTGAGTTTTACGAAATAAACAAGAAATGTTGTTCTTTTCGAACGAACAGGTCTGGGACCGAGGTCCAACAGTTTTGGGCGTACTGGTACGCCGCAGTCCCTCATCTTTTGTTTTCTTGCTTTGCAAGCTGGTTGCCTTTTTCTGGACTCCCTTGATTTCGTCAGTCGTAGATCTACCTGCCTTTCCGTTATGCCTCCAAGTTACGAAATAAACAAGAAATGTTGTTCTTTTCGAACGAACAGGTCTGGGACCGAGGTCCAACAGTTTTGGGCGTACTGGTA